ATACTTGTTATTTGCAAGTACTTTTTTTTGTTTGAGTAAGTATCATAGCTAAATTGTAAAAAAAATAAGTAATATGTAAAAAAATAGCATATCTATACATATCAAGTAAAATAACAAATAAAGGGATTTAAAATTGTTTATCTGATTTTTTTAACTAAATTATTTAACTAACCTGTTATTTACACTTATATAATTGAAATTTTGCATGTATTTATTATATTTAATATATATGTAATAACAATAATTTTTAAAAATAAAAATAATAAAATATGAAAAATAAAAACAAAAGTTAAGTTAAGGCCTATGAGTTAAACAAATTACACATGTAATAATAACATCTCATACAAATAATAAAATATTAAAGTAAACACATAGTACAGGTAACAATAGTATCTTATACTAGACATTTTTTTTCCTAAACTAAATACATAAATATCTATCCACAAATTACTCGATACCTGTTGAGTTAAATACCAAGTATAGATTTTTAAGTATTTGGGCAAGTTTAAAAAGCTATACTTAAAATTTTTCAAATCAAATACTAGATATATCTCATTCTTAACCTATACCCAAAATGCCCACCCCTACCATGGGAGATCTTCAACAAGGCCCAAACTATCTTCACTCCAAGCCGGCCGAAAGTCCACTGGTCGGTTCAGTTTTCTTGCCTCATGTCCTCAAGCGCGCCCTTGGGCTGAGTTCAAGTCATGGGGGTCCAAAAATTGGTCAAAAAAAGTCCTTTAATTATATTAACAAGAGGTTGGCCTCCACAACGTGCAGTTTTTCAATCATTCTCTTAGGCTGCTATTAATATCATTTGTATTATTTTCATGTTCTAAACACTTTAATATATTTAGTTATAAAAGCCTAATATCATTTATATTTAAAGTGTAAATTATTTTTCAGTCATATTTTGCCATAAAAAAATATTTCTTATTTGTATTTTAATTTTATGTATTTGTAGGATTTTTAATTAAAAAATAAATTTTGATATTAATTT